TGAATGTTTCATCTCTCTCTTTTTTCTTCCCCGTGTGAATATGTAAACTCATTAACTACCTAATTATTTTTTTTTGTCTCATAACACCCATCCCCCTTATCATCTAATCAAGACTAATAAGAGTCTGAGCTTATTAAATGCCTCCTCCCCCTTTATAACGCTCTGCATTTAATCGTTCCTCGTTTTATCGTCTCCTCATTTTTCTGTTTTTTTTTGGTGCTAACCCCATTCGGATCACCACACTAAACCTCCTTGCCCCCGTCCCCTTTCGATTTTTTTGTCCTGATTACAAACACATATGATTGCTTGTAATAAAAATAGAGCTCAGGTGTTATCGGACCAGAATCCGGCTTGAATGTAGGAGGTGTAATGGGGCCTGTTGAGATCAATCATTTAGTACCAGAACTGTCTGATTATCTTGTTCGAGAGAAAAGTTATCAGCCGGGCCGACCCGCTTGCAACTATGATAAAAACTCACTCCAAACTGTGCAGCGGTTTCCATCGTCATCTCGTTTCGATGCCTTGAGTCGTATTCGTCCACATCGAAGCCGTATCCCGAAAGAAACTCTGCACGTAGACGTCGATCTGTGAACACCTTCTTCGAATGTTCCATACACGAACGAATGTATTCGAACACTGAAATAAAGTCGTAAAGTATGATTTTCCGTGGTTTAAACTTCTTACTTGGCTGATCAACTCCTTGTGCCAGATTGTGATCCGTTTCGAATGGATCAGCAATGCACATTGGGTACTTGTACCATCTGTCTGGTTTGTACTCCAATCTCTTCGACACCATCTGAATCACATTCGACGAGTAGTCGAAATACGTGGCGTAGTAGTCGAGGAATCCAACGAAGAGATCGACAACCGACGCACGGCAGCGACGAGAACGAGTCGCATCGACAAACTTCCAATAGTAGACGTTGTAGCCTTGAACGTAGACGTTCTCACTCTTCTGATGGTTCATCTCTTGTAGACATGGAAGAACTGGAATCGGTTCGACTTGTTGAAGGTAATGGATCAGCATCACAATCCAAGCATACGAGGATAGCGATCCTTTGGATGCCTCTCCGATTCCACTTCTCTTCGCCCACGCTTTCACCCATACTCCAAGTGTTGGAAGACGTTCCGGGTCCCATTTACAGTACTGCTGAAGGAGTTGAGTGTTGTGAAGTGCCAGATCGTTCTTGTAGCTGATGTCGGCTTCCATGTCCATGTCACTGCTTCTGAATCGTACGATAGGGACTTTGGCATTGACATATCTCTCATCGACGACTTTTGGGAAGTCTACCAAAGCTTTGGCGACAGCTCTCATCACTCGATCCGAACTGGTCGCCCATTGTGGTGGACTTGGAACGAAGGAGAGTGACATATCGACGTCACAGAATCTGGTACCGAATCCGTTTCTCGTCGAACCGTAAATGTCGAGAACAACTCGACATCCGAAACAAGCAGTGAGATGAACCTGCATTTCCAAAGCGAATCGATGGAATAGATCCGATTGTTCAACTTCCAGACAGTTCCTCATCCAGTGTGCATTCATTGCCGTACTAAGATCGACTCTGTTGAGATACGGCATTCCGACGTATGGATGGAGAGCGTCGAATACAGATCTGCAAATTTTTAATGGGTTGTCTTTATAGGATACCTTATAAGCCGACTTACGTTAATGTTATGTGTTTGAGGGCGTGGCCACTCATGACGTCATTGCTCATCGAGACGAATGGGAGACCTGCAAAGACCCAGTTTACAGATTTTTGAGTTTAACCAGAAGTTTACTTACAGAAAGCAGCTGGTGGTCTCAAATGCGCTGGTCTCTTAGTGACTGCCAAATTTCCAAAGCACTCGATGAGTGTGGATTCTGGCATCGAGACAATCGCATCGTCCTCTTCTAGCGTGATATCGTCTTCATAGTATCCGCTGCTTCCACTCATCTTACACGGTGAACTCGATGAGCTGCGTGTCGTCGTTGTTTTCACTACTCCTTTCACTTTTGGAGGGGACAACTTCTGAGAAAAAGAGGCAATTAAGGTAACATAAGCCTTTTTTAAGCTCATATATCACAGTTCCTGTGAATGATAT